AGGTGCTGGACTTAAGTGCTTGGACCCCTGCCACCCATGTCCACCCGTGGGAAAGACCTGGGTTGAGTCTCAAGCTCCTGGCTTTCGTGTGGCCGGGGCCTCTCTGTTGATGGTATTTGGTGAATGAATCGGCGAATAGAAGATTCTCTCTCCCACCCTAAATTGGAAATCAGTTAATTAATTTTGAAATGTAAAAAGGACCTGATACATTGGATCCTCAACATTAAAAAGCCAGAAATGCAGTTATCAAATGTGTGCACTCCTGGAGGGCACATGCTCAGGAGAATATGCAGCGGAAGAGCAGCACGTGAGCAGGCGTTCTGCGTCACTGGCCACTGGGAAGGGCAGATTAAGAGCACCGTGAGAAACAGAGCCAAACCACGGGCAGTGCCAAATGCTGGTGAGGGTTCAGAGCAGTGTATCTCTCACATACTACTGATGAGAATATGAAGTGATACTATCTTGGCAATTTCTTGAAAAACTAAAGACACCCTACAGTTGGATCCAGTCATTGAACTCCTGAGCGCTTACACGACTGGAAAAGATGTTTATCTGCACACCACCAGCTGCCCCTGTGATATGCAGAAGCTAGTATCAACAAAAACTCTCAGCAGGTGAATGGCTGAGCATTCTGCAGCATAGAGCTAAGCCATGTGGAGTTCTACTGGAATGCATAGCTTGGGGATTTCAAGGCCATTGTGCTGCATGGGGAAATGTGCATCTGAGAGGGTTGCAACCTTATTGACTCCATGCATGCAATGGTCTCAAAACGCTGAGTTAGAGATAGGTTAGAGACTGTGGAGACCAGGGTTGTGGGTGGGACTGCGAGGGGCAGCTCGTGCGAGCTCTTTGTTCCCATGTCCCAGCTGCTGTGATGGTGGCAAAAATTGACACCTGTGACCCACGACTGTGACCTGGGCATCCCTATACAAGTGCCAGGTTTCTGGTCTTGGGGTCATGCTGCCATCATATAAGATGTGACTGCTACGGCAAACTGGGGGAAAGACTCTGCACTCCTCACTACTGTCTCTCCCACAGACTATAAATCTCTAATTATTTTAAGGCAAAAAAAAAAAGTTAAAGCGAGTCAGGAATTCTGCCTTTTTCCATTGAAAAAGATTCACACTGTAATTTTAGTTAGATATTTTTGCCATTTAGACCTCTGTAATTTTTTTTTTAACTGGCAAAAATGAATGTGTGGAGTTAGAGGTCAGAATAGGGGCTGCTCCTTGTGACCACAGAGGGTCCAGGGGAAATCTGAGTGTGTGTGTCCAGTAGCGGTCACAGAAGCACAAGCCGCGCATATTTTAGCTTTTCTATACTGCTGCAACATTATAACGCGTCAGTTGGAAAGAGCGCTTTGCTTTGCATGGCTCACCTGTGAGTTCCTGTGGATGAAGGTGTTCTAGAAGATTGTGTGCGAAGGAGTTAAAAAAAAAAAGTGGAGTCCACTTTTAATTTTTCCTTTGCCCTGCAGTTGAGATAAAAATCAGAGAGCCTGCTCCAGCCCTTCCCCCTCTCGGTCACTCCTGGGCGCGGGCTGGCTCTGTGCCATCTCTTACCGCAGCACAACCCTGTCGCCAGTGGAGTCTAGACAGCTGTGAGCTGTGGGGGTCAGTTAATCAATTGTGTGGCTTTTCTGTATGAGGCGAGTGCTTTCCCGGAACAGCGGGCTGCCCTGCCCCACCCGGGCAGAGTGGCTGGCAGGTGTGGGTTCTCCTCCCTGGTTAGCGGGGTAATTCATCCCCGTCCGTTAGAGCGTTCCTCACCTTACCTCCCCACCACGCCCAGTCCCTTCACTCTTGCTGCAGAACTTAAGCCCTCATCCAAGCCCCACCTTCTCCTGGAACTCTTGGGGTGGAGCAGAGAGCATGACCTTTGGAGCAGGACAGGTCGAAGTTCTAGTGCCCATGAACTCCCTAACCGAACTCTCTAACCTTGACTGAGGTTCAGGCACCTTCCTCATATGCTGCTGCAAAGATTGAATGTGGCCACAGAAGCCTGATCATCAGTATCCATTGCTTCCCCTGGGTTCCAGCAACTCCTTTCTGCCTGTTTCATCCTAAAGTCATTTCCAAAAGCACTTTATTTATTGCTGTTTTAGGCCTCCTTTCATCTCAAACAGAGGCCAGAGATCCACCCCCACCTTGGTATCCTCAGGGACACCCCTCACCCTGCCTCTTACACACAGTAGGTCTTAATGAATGCTGATGGAGGTACCAGCTCTCTCCTTCCAATTTGGGTTTCTCCTTCTGCCCCTCTAACATGCCGGTGCTCACGCCGTGGGCGAGCAACCAGTCTTAAAAATGCATTCCAACACCTGAACGCCACCCAGCCTCCAAGCTTTCTTTTCTTGGGCCCAGGAAGATCATGCAAATCCAGGGCCATTTTCCACCCATCTATGACAACCACTTGCTTGTTATGTGTCTATGGGAAAGTGATGAAACTTCCTCTGAACTTTCACATCCTTGTCCATCCTACAATCTACCACCCCGCCCCCATGACAGAGCCTCATCCCATACCAGAGCAGCTGGGATGAAGCAGAGCTCAGAGTTAACCGTCCGTACCCTGCTTCCCTCTTCCCTGGGGCCACCAAGTGAGGAATCCTCTGTGCGCTGCTGGAGGCTCTTCATCCTGATTTCAAATCTCTGGGTTCCCGTGTGGGTCACACGTGTGCGTGAACAGCTGGCAGAGCCTGGCTGCCCTTCCTGTCAGTAAGACTCACTGAGCTCGTGTGAGGTGACTGAGTTCTGTGCTAGGTTGGGAGGGGTCGCTCCCACGGCCCTGTCCTCATGAGTAAGATGCTGAAGTGCCGTACTGTCCAGGAGAAATGGATTGTGAGCCACAAACACAATTTCAGAATTTCTAGCAGCAACTTTAAAGAATTAGAAGCAGGTAGAATGTTAATAATGCTGTTTTATTGACCCTGTAAGTGGAGGTCTCTGACTCAGGATGGCTTGAATTACGATTTTTTGACTTTACAGTGGTATACAGGTGAAGCCAATTTAGATGAAGAATGTGGGCTTTGGATCTTGTTCTGGGCTCTGGGCCGGTTCCATGGTGTCTGATCCTCTCTGGCCATATTGGGCAGTGGCAGCGAACACAGCTCCTGGTAATCCTATGGTCACCATGGAAACATGATGCGCTATGGTCTGTTGTGTTGCTGACTGTTTCTGGATACAGTGATCGAACAAATTGCCAGAGATGGTCAGCACCTCGTTGTATGTAGGCTAAGTCCATGTTCTGGGTGAGCTGAAAGCAGGTTGTGCTAGACACTTTTTAGGGTCTCCCATGGTTAGGGGTGTTAAATGCATTTTCTTTTTTAAATTTTACTTATTTTTATTGAAAAAGCAGCTTTACAGAGAGAAGATGAGACAGAGAGAAAGATCTTCCACATACTGGTTCACTCCCCAGGTGATCATAATGGCCTAAGCTGATCTGATCTAAAACCAGGAGCTTCTTCTGGGTCTCCCACATGGGTGCAGGATCCCAAGGCTTTGAGCCATCCTTTACTGCTTTCCCAGGCCACCTGCAGGGATCTGGATGGGAAGTGGAGCAGCTGGGTCACAAACTGAAACCCACATGGGATCCTGGTGCGTGCAAGGCAAGGACTTTAGCCACTAGACTACTACGCCAGACCTACATTTTTAGTTTGAACCGTTTTTGACTCATATCGAGTTTGTTGAGACAGGATCCCATAATAAACCAAGGAGCGTCTGTGTGTGTGTTAACCATTGGTTGGGGAAGGACGTTTACCCTAGTGCTTAAGAAGCATGGATACACGTCAAGCGCCTGGGTTTGACCCCGCCTCCTGCTCCTGAATCCTGCCTCCTGCTCCTGAACCCCGCCTCCTGCTCCTGAACCCCGCCTCCTGCTCCTGAACCCCGCCTCCTGCTCCTGAACCCCGCCTCCTGCTCGTGCAGACCCTACCTCCTGCTCCTGAACCCCACTTCCTGCTCCTGAACCCCGCCTCCTGCTCATGCAGACCCTGGGAGGCATGGCTCACATGGTTGGGTTCATGCCACCAGTGGCAAAGACCTGGATGGAGTTTCAGGCTCCTGATTTGACCTGACCCAGTCTGGCTGTTGCAAGCATTTGGGAAGTCAGCCAGTGGATTCTTGGGGGTTTTCTGAACAGCTGGCCCCCGGAAGCACTGAGGGGGTGAGGAAGTGGTGGTGTTCCTTAGCATGAACCATCACCGGAGACAGTCTGATCAAGCATGTCCATTTATTGTGATGCAAGCTCAGACTTATACAGACTACGAAAGGGGAAGGCAGGGGGCACCTCCCTGCAGTCCTCCCACCCAGCAATGGCACTGTAATTGGCTAAAAGACATGTCTGTCTCTCTAGACCTTCCAGTCATGTCATAGGTCACCTACAACACTCATGGCTGGCAGGTAAGCTGTGGGTCACATATACCAGCTAGGCTGGCAAGGTGGCTTGGAACACTTACCAAGGAAGTTCCAACACAGCTCGTGCAAGGACAAGGAAGAGAGATGAGAGACTGGGATGCAGCCTACTGCCCTCACCTGTATGACCAGTGAACAGACCAGGTTGAGATCTCGGTTAGCCGAAACCATTGTCATGGGTTCCCCTGGAGACATGCTGTGCCACATGCCTATGACCGCTCACATAGGCCAAGCAGGCAGAGATCCGGGGCAATCTCCCACAGTGGATGAGAGCTGTCCCTTTCTCCTTATGTCTGTCTCTCTCAAGTGAATTTAAATAACTTTAAGAAGCACTGTTTTAGCATGTGCTCACTGTATGCATACTGCGGAGAGAATTTACTGGCTTTGAATACACACAGGCTTTGAAATCACATGCGGGTTCCCACCCGGCTCACTGATGGCACTTGAGCCACATTTCCCATGCTCCGCAGCCACAGCGGGCAGGCCCGGCCACCCTGGGCCAGGGAGCTCTGGTCTTGCCCCAGGGCTTGATGGAAGCATTGAAAAGTGACTGTCTAGCATCTCACCGCAACCTTGTCCTCTCTTGACCAGAGCCAGCTTCTGAGCATCGCTGCGGCTCACGGGGACCTGGAGACAGTCCGTTATCTCCTCACCGAGAAACAGGTGCAGCTGCCGACCGAGCCCACAGACGACAACCCAGCTGTGGTGGCGGCACACTTTGGGCACACGGCAGTTGTGCAGGAACTGCTGGAGTCCTTACCAGGTAAGTCGCGGGTGTGCGCTCTCACTACCTCCCAGGATCCTGCACTCAGGCTTTCACCCAGGAAGCAACAAGCCATCTGGGGCAGCCCCAGGACAAGCCCAAAGGCACCTGACAGTGCGCCTCACACTGCCTCACTGCTATGAACTGACCTGAAAGGACACCGTACTATAAAGACCATAGACAGATGTTGGGTTTTCCCTTTTAGAAGGGTAGTTTTCTTTATTTTTTTTTAATTTGAAATGTTTATTTTGTTTATTATTTTTTTTAATTAATTACATTGTGTTATGTGTCACAGTTTCATAGGCTCTGGGATTCTCCAACCCCTCCCTGTGCCCTTCTCCCATAGTGGATTCCTCCACCTTGTTGCAGTATTATAGTTCAAATTCAGTCAAGATTCTTTCATTGCAAGCGTATACCAAGCATAGAGTCCAGCATCTCATTGTCCAGATCAATTCATCGGTTTCTTGGGGAGACCATCTCTGATCTGAAGGTAGAGCTGACACAATATCATCCTGATCAATTAATAGCCCCAACATAACATCAACAACAATTTACAACATTATGAAATTAATTGACATGGTATTGAGTGACCAATATGTTAAAAAATGCAAGTTCTTAACCACATCCTATGACTACTTCGTTGATATCTCAATTTTAGTTTATATACAACCAGTTTCTATACACCTTAAATTGGCTATAGGGTACTATTCAGCTGCCTTGTGTCTATTTTCATTTTAGTATTTAGCAGTTTATAGAGTTGAAGTATAATTTTGCTGAACTTGGCAGTTTTTAGGGTTTGCTTGTCACTGTGTGCTGGACAGGAATCCTATGGCTTTCCAAGACACAGGGCTCTCTAGGAAACTGCTTCCAAGGCCCTCCCTGCTCCCAAAGACTAGGCAAGGGCACACCTACCCAGAGATGTGACCATGCCTGCCTGGCTTGTCGGTTCCTGCTGTGCCAGTGCCACTGGGGAAACAGCAGTAGCACATGCACCTTGGGCTTGTATGTGAAGAATCACTTGATACTAAAAAGCAGCAAAATAGCAATTCCATTGGGGGGAGCGGTGCAGCTGCAGGCTTTTGAGATGGATCCAAGCTGGGAGCTACCTGCAAGGTCATGGGCACTTGTCAGGCGTGTGACGGGAGAGTGGGGTGAGGGCAAGGGTAGAACCCCAGGATACAGCCCAAGAGAGGCCAGAAGAGCCCAAAGCTGTCCTTCTGTTCAGTGCTTCTCCTCCAAAGCATCCCTGTGGCAGACTGCAAGCCTTGCTTGTCCAGCTCACATTTCTGGGAGATTGCCCAGGTCTGAGCACCCTGCAGAACTTGAGCAGTGCAGGGATTCTTTGGAAGGTAATTCCAGTCCTTTCCTAGCACCTGACCAAGCAGGGGAAATTGCAGCAGGAGTCCTGAGGCACACATCAGAGGATGCTCTTGTCTGCCCTCAGGACAGGGAGGCTGGCATCTGAGTGGGGCTTTGCTGGGTGAATAGGAGTTTGCTTGGTAGACAAGCAAGTGAGGACCGGAGTAGTCTGCTCCTGCAGAGCAAGGTGCTGGGCTGACTGGCGGGCTGTCTGGCAGATTGTGCTGGCCTGTCTTCAGCTCAACCCTAAGCAGTTGCTGAGGCCCGAGGGACTGCAGAGCACTGGGCTGGGCAGAGGCTTCTCTCTGGGTACCCCACCCAGGCTGGAAAGACGGGCAGCCATGATTAGGAGTTACGTAAGACTAGAAAGCCAAAGAAAGGTAGCTGGTAACCCAGGGAAGGGTCAAGACAAGGAGGGAAGAGGTGAGTGAGTGGGCCCTGGCAAGTACTTCTAATGTAATCATGGTCTCTGTAGCCGTTCAGGAAGGTGGCAGGCAGAGACCCAGCCAGGGACCTGAGTGCTGCTGACCTGAGGCCTGAGAACACATGCAGGTGGGCACTGTGGCTGCAGAAGACAGCTCCCTGACAGCTCCGTGACCTGGCCATGCCCATGGGGCAACCTTTCTGAACCTCTCACCATCCTGCACCTGCAGCCCCACTTGGTGGAGGGTCGCGATTCTGATGTTTCTCATACCTGGATGTTCTGGGAGTGGACAAGCTGGGGCCCATCTCCCTGCTGTCTGCCCACCTTGGAATCATTCACACTGGCACAGAGCAGAGGGGGAAGAGGGAACACTGCCTGTAGCTCAGGCTCTGTGCCTGGCCCTGCCTCCTGCTCAGCGTCCTGTCACAGCGGGAAGGCTGCTCTGTCCACGCACAAGAACCCTGTAGTGACCCCGGTCTCTGTGAAGATAGCAGTGTCGCTGTGGAAGCTGAGATCACTTCTCCATGGTAGCTGGATGTGAATGACATCTAGCTAATCTGAACTGAAAGACGCTGTAGCACGTTGACCCAAACACCTCTTCCATCCTGTATGTTGAGTGTCTTCTGACAGTTTCAGGTCTGTTTCTTTCTGGACAAAGTATTACTAATGAAGGGAACATCATGATGAGGTGTTGGGACTGTAACCATGTAATGGACCAGGATGTCTTGGTGTACATCCTCTTAAGCCCTCCTCACATTGACCCTGGGAGGATGGGTGTTTTCTTTTTCACTTTACCAGTAGTGAGTACGTTGAGTTATAAAAAGGTTTCTTTAAAAATCTCTTCCAAAAATGACACACATAAACTAATTCCACCTGGAGTTGCCTGCCTCCCAAGCCTGTCTGTGTGTGGTGCTTCCCCTGCCCTGTGGTAGGCGGGGTCAGAGCCAGCGATAAGGCAGGTGCTGCGGGGAACATTCCAGTGCAGCTGACCAGAGAGAGGCCCACAGCGCTGGCAGGGTTCTTTCCAGCTGGATCTTCATGCCTGTAGCTTCTGTGCCGTTGGGGTGGCCCTAAGCATGCTGCCTTCCATCACTTGCAGATGGGGGAGCTTAACATGGCATAGGCAATCCCAAGGGACTGTTCCAGCAGCACCATCCTCTCCCCAGAGGCGGCTTTCAGCTGCAAACCGGAGACTCAGTGCTATTAGTGATCAAGGGGCTGGTCTGCATGGCAGTCACCGTGTCCTTCTGTCCCTTGCCCTCTGTCCCGCCAGCCCCCTGCAGCCCCCAGCGCCTGCTGAACTGGATGCTAGCCTTGGCATGTCAGCGGGGGCACCTGGGCATCGTAAAGCTCCTGGTGCTGACACATGGGGCCGACCCGGAAAGCTACGCGGTCAGGAAGAATGAGTTTCCCGTCATCGTGCGCCTGCCCCTTTACGCAGCCATCAAGTCAGGTGAGTGTGGCCCAGGGGAGGGACCCTCGACCGAGGCACTGCGGGGGTTGGTGCACCGGCTGTCCGGCACAGGGGCAGGTGCATCATGGCACTGCCTTTCCACCGCCCATCCCAGAGGCAGCCCTCAGTGCTCTCGCCCGCTCTGTCCCATTAGGAAATGAAGACATTGCCATATTCCTGCTTCGCCACGGGGCCCATTTCTGTTCCTACATCCTACTGGACAGTCCTGACCCCAGCAAACATCTGCTCAGAAAGTACTTCATTGAAACCAGCACCTCCAGCATCCATGCGGGGAAAATGGTGAGTGACCACTGCCCACAGGTGGCTCCGTGCACTGCCGCAAGGTTCTTATGAACTTTGTCCCAAAACGGGCTAAAAGTGTCATCATCTTCATCAACTGATGTCTTTCATTTTCTTTGTGATGCTTTAAATGACGAAAGTTTTTTTTTGTGTGGCGGGTGTGTTTAACCTAGCAGTGAAGTCACCAGTTAAAATGCCTGTGTCTCATTTGGGTTCCTGGGTTCAGTTCCCAGGTCTGACTCCCTAAAGCAGGCTCTGAGAAGTAATAAATCCAGCAATGGGATCCGTGCCACCCGTGTGGGAAACTCGGATGGAGTCCCCAGCTCCTGGCTGCGGCCACAGCCACTGCATGCCCTGGGGGTCAGAACCGCAAGATTAGAATTGTATATGTCCGTCTCTCTGTATGTTTCCTTGCCTCTCAAATCATTTTTTTTTTAAATTTTAAAAGCATGTGTTCTTGATATAGCTAGTGAAAACAGTGGGATATGTAATAAATACTATGGATCCATTTCTGTGCATTAAATGATGTAACAAGCCAGTAATGATTTTACTTACAAAGCTGGAGTGCCATTTATAAACTCATTATTTGAGGTCGTTTTCTACTTATTCGTTTATTTTAGCATCAGTTACGGAGGGGAAGTGACAGATTTTCATTTGCTGGTTAACTCCTTAAATGACTGCAATGGCCAGGACTGGACCAGGCTGAAGCCAGGAGCTTCGTCTGAGTTTCCTATGTGGGTGGCAGGGGCCCAAACACTTGGGCCATCCTCTGCTGCCTTCCCAGGCCGTAAGCAAGGAGCTGGATTGGGAGCGCAGCAGCCAGGACTCAGACTGGAGTCCTGCGTCACAGGCAGTGGCTTCACTTGCTAAATCACAAAATCACAGCACCAGCCCCACAGTGTTCTTTTTCTAATAATAAAAATACTTACTAAAGCATATTGTTTATGTAACCTTCAATTTGCCTTTCAAAGAGCAGTGCTGTCTCGTAGCCTGCTTCTAGGTCAGCCAGTGTGGCTGCAAGTGCATGCCTTACGCTCCAGCACAGTGCAGTGTCAGTGGCTCAGCCACCCTTCCCATAGGCTTCTGGACGGTTCGAGGGGCTTTGCCATTGCCTAATTAGACAGCGTTCCAACGTGTGGTTGCTTGGGAGCTGCCACACCCCATGCTGGGGGCAGCCGACACACACAGCAGCAGAACCTGGGATCTAACCTTTAGCCAGCAGGAGATACCTGCAGATTCTCATCAGGCTGATGGGGAAGGGCAAGGTCTAAACAGGTCATGTCCCTGTTTTAGGTGCCAACAGCATCTGGTATCTTTCCACCTGCCTGTCAGCTGTCTGTACTCCTACATGTGAGCCATCTGGCCTGACCTCAGCCACTGTCACTTCCTGATCTGTCTTTTCCTTCTTGCTGTGGAGGCCTTTTGGTAGGTTAGGGAAAAACCTTTGTTTATTATGTATTTCTGTTTTCCCAATCCACTATTTTCCTCTTATTTGTTGCCGTTAAGCTGCAGGATTCTGTAATCCAACATCTTCATCCCCCACTGCCCCTGTGTAGAAGCTCCTGTCCCTCCTACAAGATTACCTAATGCTGGCTTGGCACCTGCAGCAGCTCTGAAGTCCTAACAGAACATTCTGGAAACACCAGTGGTACTCTGTTATTAGAGAATCGTGACAGACAAGGCCGTGTGTGCCTGCTTAGGACAGTCACCGTATTTTGCCTTCAGAGAGTTTCAGTCCCTGGTGGATAACATCCATGACCGGCAAACCCACAGATGCAGACCCACAGCTGGCAGGGCCGGCAGTTGTCCTTCCTGGGGCTTTTAGAGTTGGACATGAGCTCGTGTCCATCCTTGGCCTCTGCCTGATTGCCGCCCTTGTGTTGCCTTGCTAGCTGGGGATCTGGAAATCAGACATTTGAACACTCAGAGACATGTTCTTGCACCTATATACATTTTACTTCCCTCTTCTGCAGATTTCTTTTTCGCTCGTTCTAATGGTTCCACAAGGCTGAGTTGGTGAGCCCCTCACACGGCCCTCCTTGATGTTGCATCCGGCTTGGACGTGTCGCCTTGGTTTTCAGTTTGCCCTGTCTCGAGTGCATTTCTTGTCAATAGATTTCGCTTTCTCTCCCACCCTTTCCACACTCATGAAAACTCACCATGTAGGTTTATTGGTCTGTATAAATTCTGTTTGCTGCTCTTTTGTTCCCACCCTGACACTCAGCTTCTGTCCTGTGTCTGTTCCCTCCTGGTGTCTTCGTTGAATTTCTCTTTTAGCAGACAGAGATGATGACCATGTCTGCTGTGCAGGTGGGGAGCGTCTGGCATGTCCTCTGCTCTGTCAACTTCGCTTCCCATGGCAAAGGAAATGGCGGTCCCCAGCCACCTGGTCATCCCTCCGTGCTGAAGTTGTTTCCAGAGCAGTGAAAGTGGACATCCTGTCTTGTTCCATGTCAGAGAAGAACTGCTTTCAGCTTTCCCCTATTCATTAAGAAATTAGCTGTTTGTGAAATATAGCCATCAAAATTTTGAGGACTAGGCCTTCTAAACCTAATTTGTGAAGGGCTTTTATCATGAAGAAGGGTTGAATCTTAGCAAATGTTTCTCTCTATTTTTTGAGATGACCATACTGTTTGTTTTTCATTCTACTGATGTGATTTGTGACATTGTTGATTGGTGAGTGTTGAACCACCCTTGCATTTCAGGGATGTGTTCCACTTGATCATGATATATGATCTTTTTGGTGTGGCTTTGGATTTGACTTGCTAGTATCTCGTTGAAAATCATGGCGTCTGTGTTCATGAAGGATCTAGACTTGAGGGGTTTTTTGGCCTGTGTCATGTCTTTAGTTTTGTTATCAAAGTAATTCTGGCCTCACTTTAGAAAAAATAGGCTGGCAGAGTTCCATCTTACTCAATATTTCCAAATACTTTGAATTGTATTGGAGTTACTTTCTCCTTGAGTGTTTGGTGGACTTCACCTGTAAAGCCATCAGGTCCCAGACTGTCTTCGATGGAAGATTTTCAGTCACTTCTTTAATCTCACTGATTTTATGGGGCTGTTGAGGTTAGGGTTATTTGTGAGTCCTGGAGTTTAACCGTTTCTTCAAGGTTTTCCAGGTTATTAGCATACTATTTCTTAGTAGTGTCATGATCCTTTGTAGTTCAGTGCTGTGAGTTATAATGGCTCCTTTTTCATCTCTAATTTTGTTTGAGTTTTCCCTCTTTTTTCTGTGTTTGGCTACAGGTGTATCTTCTCCAAAACAAAAACAAACAAACAAACAAAAAATCCACTTTTGGTTGATCTTTTGTATTTTCTTTTTAGTTTCAATTTCCTTTATTTCTGCTCTAATCCTTATTATTTCTTGCCTCTTGGTTTGGTGTTTGGATTGGTTTCTTTTTTCCCCTAAGTCTTCAAGTTGCATCATTAGGTATTTAATTGGAGCCATTTCTCTTTTTTGTTATATTTTTATTTTGAATTTTTGAATTTTATGTTACAAATTCATATAGACTAGGATTCTGCCCCCCCAACTCCCATCCCCAACAGATTTTCCCCATGTTGTTACAATAGTGTAGTTCTTCATAAGGAGTCCTAATTCCATCAGCCTCTTATTAAAGTGCACCCTGACATTGCTGGTGTAGATAGCGTCAGACAGTCTGGCATCCCATTGTCTACACATGTCCAACAGTTTCACTGGGAGTCCATATTTGGAAGCAGGAATGCATGTTGCATTGTACCCCCACATCTGGATATGGTAGACCCCAGTTCTCCATCACTGTACATTTCCATAAATGAGAAGCCATGAAACAAGGTCAACAATTATTTTGAGTTAGAACAACAGTCACAACAACAAAAAATATGGAACGTTTCACAAATTTGCATGTCATCCTTGTGCAGGGGCCATGCTAATCTTCTCTGTATTGTTCCAGTTTTAGTATTTGTGCTGCCGAAGCTAACACGAACCATTTCTCTTTTTAAGAAAAAAAAACTACGGGCAAACCTGAGTGAGGCCAGGGCTTGTGTCACCAACTGTTTTGGCTCTAGCACTGTGTGGTAAAGATGGACCCTTCTCTAAGTCATGCTAGAAGAGTCTCAGTAGTGTCATGGCTTCAAACACCAATGGCCCTGGTCCTCCGGCGAGGAGATGCGGACTGCTGCAGCCTCTCAGGATGACTACAAGATGTACTGGAGACTTTACTCAGGGAGGTGCAGTGCAGCCAGGCTCTTGCAGTGGCACCAGGAAATTTAGAATGAATTGGTACAGCCCTAGTGTTGCAGGGTGCATGGGGGGTCATTACGAAGATCTGCCAGGGTAGGGAAGGTTTTTTAGGGTTAGCCCCCCAAAACTAAGGAGAATGCCCTGGCTCACATACGGTGCCTGAGCACAGATCTGGGGCTGAGGTCCCCAAACTCCCACACTTACAGGATGCAGGGGCACTGCCGGTGGCCCCGCACGTTGCTCTGACTCTGATTACGATGCTCGTAGGAGGAGAAAAGGTGTGCACTGTGTGGCTTGGTCACTGCCAGGCATGGCACACCTGGGAGCCCAGCAGTTGTTCAGACCCCGGTCGGATCTCCAGGCTGAAGTACAAATCAGTGGGTGGCAGCAGGATCCCTTCCCACCAAAGCTGTGACCGGCAGGACACGCAGTGATTTTTTGCCTTGATGTGGTAAGATGGTAGCTCTGAGGTCTTCTCTCCCCTAGTCCCAGTCTTTGATTTTTGTCTGTTGCTGTTTCATTGCTTCTTCATCAGAAATGTCCACTTCCCCTGGAGATGCAGCCCCTCCTTTGAGCAGTGTAAGACAGTGTGGCTGCACCCTGTTCAGCCATCTTGAATGAGAGAGAGAGAAAGAGAGAGAGAGAGAGCTTTCCACCTGCCAGCTCACCCCCCAAATGGCTGCCGCAGCCAGGGTTCTGGAGCTCTGTCTGGATCTCCCGTGGGTGTGCTCAGAGATCTGAGCACTTGAGCCATTACCTGGTACTCCCCAGAGGGCACTGG